TTTTTTTTGCATCTATGCAACTCAAAAACACGTTGTGGGCATGTCGTAATTGTGCGTATATGTATGTCAGTGTATTTGAATTTCCAGATCTACAAAAGCTATGAAGATGAAATTTTGCCATACTGGGCCCACACCCTATGGATGGACTTCCAGACGCAGCATAAAGCCCTCTTGCATCTCACATACAGAGAGCATGGACCCCGTTCCTTAGCTTTCTGGAGCTTAATTCGGCTTTTCTGAAACAAATAGTGTGCTATTTGAAAGAATTCAGTACTCCCGAACTTATTATAATGCTTCTTTTAACTCGATTTCGTTCTGTTTTGGTTGAAGTCACCCCATCTTTAGCAAAATTTTGAATCTTCCTGGGCTAAATTTTTGCACGCTTGCCATTCAGTTTTGCACCCTTAGCCTTAGCTTTAGAACAGCTTCTCAAACGAGCGATTTTGGCATGCATTTTCTAACTTCTTCCTATAAGATCGATAGAAAAAGGACAACCGGTTCTCCTCTTCCCATCGAGTGTGACTTTTATAAATTCGGAACACAAGATAGACAGAGCACATAAGAAATACTCGATTGGCTGCAAATGCCAATAGGACTACTTGTTGGCAAGACTGTCGAAGGTTGCTTTACAGCTGATTTTCGCCCCGAGCAGGTTCTAGCATGAACAACCGTCCAAGGTACAATATGCATGTATCAAAGTAATGAGCGAATCGTCAAAAAATGAATTCTACTACCCTGTACAAAACCAGCTCAAAAGGACCTCGTCGCAGGCTCGGGCGACTTTCACGGAGTTGTTCCATCCCGAAAGAGTCAGGCTGAAACTTGTTAGATTTCTAGGCCTATCAGCGCAGATTTCATTCCTTAGATGCGCGCTCATTAGAAAAACTATAACTGAGCGGTACCTTCCAGAAGGACGGCTCGTTTGGGTCCAAACACAACACCCTGACAACGACGACACATCACTTTTGTGCGATTCCGATTCTGCTCATCCACCAGAGCCTTCAAGTCCTGCTTCTCATTTTTCGTACTGCAGTTCTCGTCTACTGGTGGCTTGTTCTCCGTAAAGAGCTGAATTTTCAAGCACTTTTCAAAAAGTGTGCAAAGAATTATACCTTCGCTTTCACTGAGATCAAGCCAAGCTTCTATCTGTTCTCACCAACAAAACAGAAATTTTTCCGAGAAATCCCGGACTTCGGATCTTTTGTTGTGATTTTCTAGAAATTCTACTGGAAGTGCGGTGATTTTCTGTACTGAATGTTTTTTAAAAGAATCATTTTGAGTTGTTTCTGACCGACCAACTGAAAATCCTCTACTTTCGCGTGGGTGGAATGAAACTGATATTTTACAGATGGGCGACCTACGCAACGCGGCCCAAGTATTATTTTCGTGCTGGGGCCTTCACCTGCACTGTTCAGAACCTTCGCATTTGCTTTGGCTAGTGCTGCAAGTACCAAAGACTTCAGGACTGCATGGACTATTCTTCTATTCTTTGCTATTCCTAGCTTACTACTATTCCAAAAATCATTCTTTATCACTACGAGAGGTCCAGGAATGAAGAATCCTGTCGGAAGCATCGCCTAGAATCAATGTAGGAGCGAGAATCGGGTTGCCCCATAAACTGGTATAACTCACATTTGTTTGAATCTCCTTGACATGCATATCGGGCGGACAATCCAGCTGCTACACACAGGCTTCTCAAATGATTTCTGGAAGAAATGGCACACCAACAACCGCTCTCTCTCTGAAGTCACTTTTACTGTGTCACCAAATTTGCATAACAGCCAAATTCTCGCAGAATTTGAATAACTGCGTGCTCGCAATTTGCATAACGCCAGATGAGATAGACACGGGGAAATTTCAGTGCTTG